CGGCAATTTTCCTGACTTGGACACTGGCGAAATTACTAGAATATACAATTCACAGAATAATTGTTGAAAAATGGTCTCAGACAAGTATACGCATTATGCAATGTCAAAGAGCCGCTACAGCAAGTTAAATATTTCATACTGCAGAAGATCCCCAGAAGAAGCCAAATCCCTCATACAAAGTGATAGCCGTAACGTGAAAGCAAAATAATTGCTTTTATTTGTCCGGCCCTCCTGTATTCAAGATTCGTCATAATATAATGCAAGCATCAACCGGAACAATCCCCACAACTTAATCCGGCGACAGCAAAAAACATGTTGGATTTTGAACACTCCTTAAGCTCAGCTGTCTGGGTACACTTCCATGTCAGAGTAAATCCATCTTATTACTTTTTACAAGCTGAAAAACTGAAACCTTTCTTCTCCAGTGTTTTGCCGACAATTTTCAAAGGTTTGAAGGCTTCCTTCACTGAAGGTTAAAATTTAGTTTTTTATGATTATCAAATTGTCATCCTGGGAGAAGACTAGAAATTAGTTTTAGCCCACATGATTCAGGTTAGACGAGACGATTCAGGTTAGAAGTTAGCGGAGACTTACGCTTGCATTTAAGCGTTACAAATTGCAAATGAGTTTTTTTGCTAAGAGATTTCAATTGATCTCAAAAGCATATTTTCAATCAACAAATAACCATGGCTCTTATTCAAAATTTACGAAAATCATATAGCTGATCCGTACGCTCCAAATAAATCTTTATTTCAGGTAAGTTAAATATGACCCTTTTACATATTTATGAATGTTCGGCTTTGCGCGTAAACACCGGCTTAATATCCCAAGCTACAAAGTTCATCGGATTTATTTTATCATACTTTTGTGTGTTATGAACACCTCTAAAATGTTTTCCCACAAAATGCTTGCCAGAACGAATATGTCGTTTTTTTTCTGGACAAAATAATAGCCGCGTGTAATATGGTTTCACGAAATACATACGCTGCCAAATAAATCTTAATGCTGCTTTATTCAGAAAAATACGTTAATTAATAAATTGTAAATTATTGTCAGTTTCTGAATAGCGTTTGCAAATAAAGCAGGTGAAGCACTCGGAAGCTCATGCGGAAGTGTTGTTTGATATAAGCGGACTAAACCCATAAAATAAATAACGGGCTTGCCAACTGTGCACCTTTACTAATGTTGCATACCATTATCGCTCAATATTTAAATGATAAATTGTGGAACAAAGCTGATTTTTACATCGATCTACAATCCTGGCAACTAGAAAATCTGAATATAGACAGTATATGGAAACAATAACTATAAAATTATGCAAATCAATAGAAATAACATTAGAGCAGTTCCACAAAATTAAATTCTGACATGCAATTGGAATTGTTTCCCCCAACTACAACTGCTTAGCTATGCCATTTTGGATTATTACTGCTATTGCTTAATCATAATGGCATCCTTCTTAATCAATTTCTATTGTTCCATATTGTGTTCTGGAAACTATTAGTATTTGTGAGCAAATTAGGCGTACATCCAGCTTTCTGCATTTGTAGAATGACAAAATCTCGACTCAGGAGAAATTTGAGACAATCCGCAACAAGTTTAAATCCCATTTTTTACCAAGATAGAATAGAACTTATTTGCATAACTCAGCAGACGATATATTAATTTCTATGGTTGACAGTTGTGTGGTAGTTATTTCTGTGCTAGATTATTATTCGCTTTTATCAAGTCGAAAAAGGAATGTGAAAAAATGGGAATGCTAAAAGTTGTTACTTCCAATTTGTCGACTCGAAAATTCACTAATACAGATCCCTTGGAATCCTAGGCTAAACAATTTCTTTCCCTCAGTGCCCGAAAGCTTCAAATGAAAGAGGAAATAAAATGAAACAGGGTAAGCCGATAACATATGCATTAAGCAGTGGCACCCTATGCCATTCCTCAGGGCATAACCTTGCTAAGTGTGGAGCTGGGTAGCATTATATTATTTGTAAAAGTAGGTTTGTTGCCATTTTGTGTAATTTTTATTTCTTCCTATACAGTTCCATTGCCATTGAACAAAATAGCCCTGCCAAATAAACTCTATACAAGATGATTTCGGAACTGGTTCCAAAGGAATTAGGATTCATTGAGTATTTATAGCACGTTTTCTTTTTACATTTTTGTATGTATTGTGTTTAGATGGGGGGAGATAATGTTTATTCTACAGTCACCGGTTGAAAAAAATTGCCGAAGCGAAATTGGACACGTGTTTATTTAATAAAAGATATGAAGGGAAAATATATATACCTTATACTTTTGTTAATGCGGAAAATTGCTTGTAGATCAAAAGGAGGCGTACGTTATAATATTCCATTGGACTTCAATACGGCGCCCAAATTCGTCTAAATTCACACAAAAACGCATTCGATTAAAACTTTGCCGGAAGGTAAAACTAGTTAGCTCTGCCAAAGGATTCACTGCGAACTTTGCCATTAAAATAGGGATTAGGCAAATAAAATTGTTCGCCAAATAAATAGTTCCAGGAGTGCAAATAACTAGTTAGTAGAAATAAAAATAATTATTTATATAACAACTATCCTCTTTCTCCACATTAGATTCCTAACATCGAATAATTTTAAACAGGCGATCAACTTAACTACGGATTTAGGAACTTTGTTAGGAACGGTGGGTCAAAAAAAAAACGCTGGTTTCCTTCGACCAGACCGAAATGTTCACCCATGAAATATCGTGGATATTTTTCGCAAAAGAGTCACAGAAAACCTCACTATTTTAACACTTTATCTAGATTATGTTTTATTATATTGAATTTGTGTAAAAGTTGTCACAATATTGTTTTAAAGTATTTATTTGAGTAAAATATTGCCAAACCACCTGCCAAACCACCAAAACCTGCCACTATAACGATCGCTAACAAACTCCAAGACAAAAAAATGCTTCCCTCCAAGATGCGAAAAGGTATCTCCAATTTAATTTCCACATCTACCGGTAATTCTACCGGTAATTTTTGATAAAGTTAAAAATAACCGCAGATGAAATTGAATTTACGAAGAAGGAATTACCGGCATTTCGGAAGGGCGCGTCCAGTCCAGATGCAAACTTCAACTTTAAACTGCCTGGAATTTTTAATTTTCATTTCACCCTTAAGTAATCAAAGATCAGACTTTGAGTGTGGGCATCTCTTGTGATGGCAAACCTTGCAAAATCATAAAATTCCCACTTTACAAACAAAATCTCTCGCACAAATCTTCAATGGTATCGCGATTGTTAGCTGCTAAACAACTTTCTCGAATAATTGCTCTAAAATGAGAATAAGATTAATTATTTATAAAGGCGATGGAAGTTGGAACAAACCATTTAAATAAAACGATCTGTTAATATTCAAGCAAATTTTAGCGAGTTGTTTTGAAAAACTAATACACTTTGGTTATGGAAGGGTGGAAATATTAGTATGCTACGGGAGCCGATATTGCTATTATTGTGACGATATTAGATGTCGGAAGCTCTCTATTCCTGTACACGTGGAATTGCTTAATAGCAATTATCCAACCTGTTGTTTCATTATACGTTCACAGATATAATTAAGTGATCATCAGCTACAATTATCTTCAGTTGTATCGAGTATTGTTTGGGATTTAAGCATGGCATTATTAAAATTTTCGTCAAATTCCTGCTAATTACACCGAGTTATTTTCACATGGTAATTTTCAGTTACTTCTGAAATATTTCTTGACAATTTTTTGGCTTGTTAATTTTCAAAGATTTTAATATGTCTGTTATAAAGTTTGTATGAAACGTGGACAGTGTTTGCTTGTTATACTGTTGTGACCTTTAGTTAGTTATAGGAAGTATCAAAATCTACAATAGCATCAAGTCACATCTCAATCTGCTACCCATTAAACTGTCTAGCAACTTGGGAACTTCCAATACTATCGTATCGTCTAGATGCTGAGATTCTGCATCATAACGTACAATTAATCTTTCGGTCGCCAAATTATTGACAGTAGTGAGAAAAACTGCCATTAGTTTCATCTCACGGTATTTAGTTATCTATTTACTGTAGATAGTTTCAGCTCCAATTAGAGATAACGATCTTTGCGACAATTTATGTCAGGGAAACTAGAGAACAGGTTCAACCGCATGAACTTATAATGCCCATTACTTTTCCTGTTATACTGACGACACCCGCAACTAAAATTTTAATGAAAGTGTATAGAAACATAGAAGAGACAAATTAGATGCTTGAAGGCGCGATATAGATAAAGAACTTACCTTATTAATTAGATTTCCACCAATCGATTCGAGGAACTAATATTTTACTGCTAAAATATTTAATGCGGCTTTTCGAAAGAGTTTCCTGATATTACCCAATCATTTTTTATTGGCTGATCTAACGCGAGTGATAAGTTGAGAATATGTTTTCGCAAAAATCTACTAAGTTTAACTGGATAAACTTGTTGCACTGCCGAAATTTTAAGCATTGTCCAAGTTGACTTAAAATGTAATTTTTGGATTTAGTACTTGTAATTGTAAAAAACGATTTGTGTGATTTTTAATGGCATTACTTGCAAAGATTTGCATTAGGGCAATTGATGCTTAATATAAAAAGCATGTTTCTAATAAAAGAATAAAGAAAATATTAAAAGTCTAATTAGTTTGCGTATATATAAATGTATGCGCGTGTATGGCTGTATTAGTTTTTCACAGCTCATAAATATAAATGAGTAACACCGCTGCTGCTGATTGGATGGCAGTAACTATTATATGAATTATAGTAACACGACCTATTGGCAGCGTGAAATATTTGGAACTTAATACGGCAAACATTGCAAGCTTTGGAACTCTGTTCCCATTAATAAAAGTGCGGCCATCATATATTTTTAAATTATGCCAAAAAGTTGGAAACTGTTCCAAAACCTATAAAGCGCCGTTCCATGCTATTTAAAAAATTTAGCGTCTCACGGGACACCTGTTAAGCCTTGGGAGGCTAAATGCGAACTCACCTTGGTTAATAATGACGAAAATATATAGCATTGTTACGGTGACACTTTGCCGACTGTTGTTCCGCATTATGGAAGGAAATTTTATCCGATTCCCAAAACTTTAGCAAAACTTCGAAAACTTCGCAACTCGAAAAAATTATTTACGATGATCGCGTGGTACACAGTCTAGCCAGAAGTTCCCGGAACGAGCTGGCATGACAAAAGTCGTGAGACGACTGCCGCAGGCAAACGGGAATATGCGACAGAAGCTGGAAGATAGCTGCGCTCATGGAGGATGAAAGCGGGAAGCTGGAAAGCTGCATCAAGCGTTTTTCAACAATGTTAGGTATATAGTTGTACTAATTATTTATGCACAGCAAAGCCACAATGTGTCCCACGGCCCGCAAAAGAGATAACTCGATTTTCTCCGCGGTATTTCCAGAAGCATATATATATTTATATATTATAATAAATATACGTTAATAATAAATTTAAAAAACTCCAAGCACTATCGCTTCAAAAGTCATTGGAATAGGACAAATATTGAAAAACTACTAACGCAATGCGGAATTAAGCACTAGTAAATAGTGAAACTAATGGGTTTTTCGGGTTTTTAGGCCGTCGTTGGGTAGAATTTCTTCTTAAAGTTTCGCAAGCACGAGTGGCTTGCATCTTCAGAAGTCGTTTGCTTGAAGCTTACACTGTTCTGATCAACGGCGGCCTTAAAAACCCGAAAACCTCATTAGTTTCAAGGAATGGCCTCGAAAGTCTATCTCTTTTCATACTAGTAAATAGTTTTAGAACTTTTCAATAAAAACATTATTAATTCGTCAAAACAAAACCGACTAAACAGCAGGCAACTGCTTAATAATTTACAGAGCCCCTAAAATAAGTGTTGACACATAACAACAGCCTGCATCCTGCTGTTATTTTCCTATTGCGTGTTATTATACAATCGTGAGACGTACATTTCCATCATGTGAAATATACATTATTTCGAATTCTACATACAACAAACAGTGAATTCAATTACTGAAAAGGTTGACTTTCATGAAATAATAAGAACACAATTTAAACATTTTGTAATAAATTCTCTTAAACTACGTTTTTGTTCATATGTATATGTATTGGTAAAATGTAAACCATTTGTGCTTCAGCAACTATATGCTTTGAAAATGGGCAAAAAAATGGTGGAAGCTGTTTGAGAATATATATGCAGTATCAAATTCCCTGCTTGTATCTTGTGCATTGAAACGATTCCTGAAAAATTCCATAAGAAAAAAATGCGATTGTAGTCAGAGTGAAAGTGTCAGTTTAGCCCCTCTAAATGGCAATTCAAAGAAAAATGGCAGCAATTCAGGGGGAAAAAGTTGCAAATATTGAAAATATATGTTTCTATCGAATTTGCTTAGAACGGTGGAAACACAACAGAATCTTATTTGATTCCCATGGTACGTACATATTTTTCGTAGTAGAGTTGACTCAAGGGACAAACTTTCCGAGGGATTATATGGACAAATATTCAAAGGCCAATTGAACGATGTCAATTCCGTTCAAAGTAAAATCGCTTTACTAAATTAACAAAATAAAAATATCACAGAAGTAGGAAAACCTGAAACATTTAGCAACAACATGTTTGATTAATACTCGATGTCTTGAAGGTGATAAAGGAAATTAGGGGATGGAAATAGGCAAATTTCAAGAACCGAAATCGACAACATTAACATTCCGAAAACAAAATACTTAAAGATTCTGAAATGTTCAAGTTAATGACTTAGTCGATCGTGCAAAGACTCTCTGCAAATTGCTTAGGATTTCGAAGGAATGCAGGAACAATGTGTAGATCGTTTATTCGCACGCACGAACCCCTAAACAGCCCAGCAGCCTCTTCGCGCCTGTTTCTCGTGCCTTTCCGGTCTTGAAATAATTGCTAATAAATCCCACTAATAGATGATGATGCCTATTTGCCTAATGGTTATATGACAATAAATTTATTCAGAAGTTAATGTGTCGTTTGCAGCCCTGAAAACTAAATATCAGAATCAACTACTGATTTCTCAACTTTCTCAACTACGAAAACATCGGAAGGCAGAATGTTAAATATAGCGCAGGAAATATTTCGTTTCAAGATTGCTCTATTTTTCCTTGTCAATTTTTCCATTAAAACTCTGAATACCATTAAAATTTACATTAGCAACTTTGTTCCAAAATATTTAAAATACCAAAAAAGCCTTATTACTGCCAAGGAAGGGACAACAATTAACTTCAATAATCAAAAGTATATTTCTAAGATGCCAAAGCTTATTTACCAGCTGTATATAATTAGTTGCAAATGAACGGAGCAATGGTCTAGTTAATATAAATATGAGAACCTCAAACTCTTTATATACGCATAAATTGACTTGTAGTAAGAACGTAGCAGAGTAGTTGATATTATAATATACGACTATTGATTTTATAGCTGCATGACAAAGCTACTACTACATAAAAAGCTTATACAGCACAGATAGCAATTTACGCTGATGAAAAACGAGCAGAAAATCTTCACGAATAAACTAAATTTCTCTTCCTGGAAGTAAAAGAGCAAAATAATATGCTAGAAAATGTGGTCACGCCTAGCTCCAGTATTGTAAAATGGCGAAATTCAGCAAGGAATACGAAAATATAGAGATAAAGAGGCGAAATTTGAAAATAGTGAGATTTACCGGATCAAATAATGCTGCCAAAATATGTGCCGACCTGAAAGTGAAATCAATTTAGTGGATGTTTTCCGGATGGCATATCCGATATTATTATAAATATTGCATTTAATATTAACAAGGCACTTAACGTCGTTTGCTTTTAGGGCTTTCTGCGAGAAGGGCACTAACACGAAAATTTCCGTGTTATTTTTTGGCATCTCCATGTTCCTAAAATCCATAAAACGTACATAACAAAAATCGATGCTCCTCAGTAATTGATCAAAAGAAAATAATCCTTGTTCTTAATTAGAACAGTATTTCAATAAAAGGCAGTAGTTATATGACTACCAAATAATGCGACAAATAAAATGGCAATGATTCCTTCAGGTAAAAACACTAGAAAGATGAAGGGAAACAATACCAGCTGCAAAAGGAAATACAACGACCGAAAACCAAAATACCCAAAATAAAACTTTGTGATTTATGTTATAATGTTCGGGTTTCATTCAAGTCAAATGCTGTTATTCTATGATTACCAATAGTTTTTCCTGCTGCCATTTAAAGAGCTATTTCCAGGTAACAGTCGCATCGAATATCAGACTTTAGCAAAGCGATTCGCTTAAAGTAAGAGAAATCAAATTTTTTTGCCTTTATAACTTCGGAAGGTACGTATCTGCGATTTCTCGCAAAATGTAAAGTGCTTTTCGCTGTAAGTTGCCAGCTCAACATTTGTTTTTCATGCTACAAATCTGTCTAACATTTATAGAAACAGACTAAAATGATTTATCGCCAAAGTGAGGAGAAGCAGATTTGCACCATCTAAATCGGATAATACGTATTTCGTTTTCAATCACTTTTACATGCATAATGCACTTTCTGTTATGGAAAGGAAAAGCTACCTCTTTTGAAAAGTTCTGCTGGTGGAGGTAGAAGGATTTTTATGTTTTAGACCAATTGTCCGCTCGCCATACATTGTTATATTTAATAAGGTTTCCTTCAACAAGTTAAAATGAAAAGAACTTAAATGAGCTCGAAAGCATATTGTCGGTTTTGCATTTGTGAATGGCAAAAGACTACATCGTCTCTTCCAGTTTGCCATAAAAGAAAATTCGTTTTGTGGGCTTAGCAATTCGAAATATATGAAAATGATTTTTCTGTATTTGAGCCAGAAAGAACAAAAGTAAATTTAGATCTTACCGGAGAGCAGGATATTGGAAACCGAGTCTGGTTGACAAATTATTGAACTCTTATGCGTCACAAAATTCCGGAACAAGCAATGAAGTGCTTATTATATATTTACCATATTCGTAAAGGATATTTACTAAATATCTTAAGCTTTACGATCATTACTAAAATGTTAGGGCTCCATTATCAGACGGTAGTAAATCTTGAATATCTTTATCCAAGATTTTATGCATCGTAACATATTACGACGCATTTTCAAATTTATTTTCCGAAGGTATGGATTTGTAACCTTTTAATGGCAATATGTTCCGAAACGTAAAGGATAATGCTCTGGCTCATTGATCTAATAATGGCGATGCCGGTTTTTACTCGCATCTTTAGTACCAATAAAATCAAAGTAAATTTTTCATAATAACAAACACTGCTTAATTTCTGAAGAGAAGCCATTACATGCCAGTAGATAACTAAATTACGTGCAAGATCGTAAGTTAACAGTTATAAATGTTGCACACAATTCAAACATATATGCAAGTGTATAAATTACGTTTCCGGTTATTTCAGCGGAAAATGTCCAGTCATAAGCAAATAAATTAAGAGTATCAATATTTGCACTCCCATCGGGAACTTTAATTGAGTAAATGTGTAATGCTACCCTGCTTTATCTTAAAATCGTAAATAAGCACTCTAAGTTAGCGTAATTTCAAGTGGTAAACCAGCATGTTATCTGCAATTTCAACTATGCATGATACATAACTGCAGTAAAAGTGATTTAACGTGAATTTGTAAAATTGTAGTGAGTTTTTCTTGGTTCTGGTGGCGTTATAACGTTGTAAAACTATCACATTAAAAATAAAAAACGACACATTTTAGGCCCGTTAGCGGAAAACATACAAGGAGTTAACCTGGAATTGATGACAGCAATTCTGGGGGATGTTATTAAGGCACGACCATTCATTTTGACTCTAGACAGATACGAAGCTTAATAAAAGAGTAAGCAACTGCCGCGGCAGAGAAGATATATAAAGCTCCGAGAAAGAGGAAAACAAAAACTAGGCAATTTCAAACGTATTGTTTGCTCCATCTTACGAATGGTCATTTTTTAAGATTACTTGACGCTAGACCCTTGGCTTCGTGGCGTTTTTGATATCCTTTTGTTTCCTCAAATTATTGACGCTATATTTTTTATGACCCGCTGACAAAAATGACTCGTAAACTTGGCTTCCCATTATCTGAAGTCGATTAAACTTTAACCTTTATGTTATTGTAATAATTCTGTTAAAATAAAATGAACAATCAGATTTATGTCTTTCTGCACATCAAGCGTTGAATCGATCTGTACTAGTTATTACTAGTCGTTT